ACACTTGGGAATTTGAAACACGTGTTTAATTTCTTTCTCAGAAAACTTCATTTTTTGGGGGGTTAAATATATAATATACTTTATATTAAGATAATTCACTTTAACTTGATTCAAAGATGGCACATCACCCCCAACACCACTTCATCCTTTTTCTGAATGAGATGATGCTCGCTAGAACTGTTACGAGGATGCAAAGTCGCTCTACTCTCATCAGTTTATCTGTAATAAATTACTTCACCAGAAGTAGAGCGTGACGGACAGATTCACGTGAAAAAAAAAAGTCAAGCATATGTGCCGTACAGTAAGTAAGCAGTTATTTTCGTTACACGGTGTATAAAATACACTGTTTCCTCGGTGATTTTTATATAAATTTATTATATTTTTTTTTATTAAGGAAGCTGTCAATGTTCTAATGCCATTATCGATGATACAGAAGCGTAGATGTGATGCTGATTACCTAAAAGGGGAATGGATAAATCTAGTGTTGTAAGAGTGCAAACTCTTTGAAGATTTTTCATCACGCAATTGTTAAATTTTATCTAATATTTCGTGCAGATTACGTACTAAAACGATGACGTGCAATGCTTACTACACCGTTTCCTTTCTTTTAAATATAACTTTTAATTTTAATTATTATAAAATTTAAAAATTAACACAACGTCATTATTCACGTAACAATTACCGTCCACTATCTACAACGGTTATACGTTACGCTCTATTTCAACAAAAATATACGTAACAGAATAATTTAATCCAATGAGTTACGTTTCTACACGAAGGAGGAATTACTTGAAATTATTATATTAAAATTTAAGTAATTTATAATAAAATGGCCACCATTTAAAAGGCGAGAGAACAGAAGCCAAGTGTTTCTTGTGTTCGAAACAATTGAAAAATTGTTAAATTTATAAATTAATTAATATAAAAAAATATAAATATAATTATTTTTACAGTATAATACATCGCAGACAATAGCATTTATATATATATATGTATAAGAGGAGATGGGTAACATCTGTTTGACTTATAAAAACCCAACCATAAAACCTGCATCATCAGGAACGAAATTGTTCTATGCATGGCTTATATCAAATAGTCATAACGTGTAATTTCATTGGACGAATAGTTTGTGACATCATTTATGACCGTGACAACACAGTCGTTAGAGGTTCGAGATCGTAAATGAAATGACTCCAAACAAAAGCAGATGTTTAGAATTCGAATTAAAAATGGCAAATAAGCAATGAATGTTATAAGTTTTATTTTTTGTTAATTTCTAAAAGTATACACGTTGGCCAAATATTTTTAAATGTATATAATTTCCATTCTTTCTTTGTTGTGTTTTCTACGGTCCTTATGACAAAATTTAACGGCCGGGGGGGGGAGTATACGCTAATAACTACGTGTAAAAATCACAAATTTTATAAAGCTTCGGTACTGTTTCGCGTGTAAGATGAGGTTAATTTATAATAAACATATATAAAAATTTCTTATATAAAAATTACTCCTACGGGGTGGCCCAAAAGTCAGTTGACCTCGTTCAGTTCTGTCCCGAGTAGAAATTGTAAATCGCGCTTTAAAAAAAAGTGCTTATTCAGCGGTTAAATAAGGCAATAATTTAGTTTCTACAGCAGTTAACTGACTTTTGAGCAACCCTCTAAGTGCGTAATCAATACAAAGTCGACTCCCCTATAACACTGTTGATTATTCCGTTTTATATGAATTCCATGTTGTACGAGTCACTTAGATTTTACAAATATGTTTACCGGGCTGTGAACGGCTCACGTATTTGTAAAATCTAAGTGACTCGTACAACATGGAATTTATATAAAACGGAATAATCAACAGTGTTATAGGAGGGTCGACTGGTATATATATAAATAGTTGATTACGTTAAGCGTATTTAATATTAATTAATTTAACATAAAATCGAAAATTAGTGAAGTTTTTTTTTATTCATTTATTATACGTGGCCCAAAAATGAGTTAACCGAGATACGAACGAATTTAGTCGGGAAAGTCAACTGACTTTTGGGCCACCTGTATTTTATAACTATTAAAGTTACATTCGAATAAATTCGAATTTAAAATATATATTAATTTATAATATCAGGAATGAATTAGTTTTTTTTTTAAATACATGGCGTCCCAAAAGTCGGTTAACCGAGAAGTAGGCGAATGTAATCGAACTGGTTAACCGACTTTTGGGCCGCCTTTTATTTGTTTTTATAGAAGTTATATGTATTGTAGAACAGTACATACATAAATTATAAAAATTTAAATAAATAAATAAAAATTAACTTTACCTCTAGAAATTTATCGTGTATGAACCGATGTACTAATGACGTTTTTCCACATTTGTTATCACCCACGAGCACTATTTTACAATTGTATTCTTCCATTGTAAATATTCTGGACCAGTCCAATTAACGAACTGTTTTTTTTTTTTAATATGGACGGAATGAGAAGATAAAAAATTGATACCCTACAAAAAAATTTTTTAAAAATTAAAATAAAATAAATAAATAAATACAGCAAAACCTGTGTAAACCGGAATCACATGTTATCGTATACTTTATCTGTTTTAGACAGGTTTTTTAAGTAAGAAAATCGCTCAGTTCCGATGGATTTTCCTGTCTTATTTAGTTTCCGTTTTACACAGGTTTTTAACACAAAATCGCTGAGTTTCAAATAATTTTTCCGTTTTAGACAGGTTTTTAACATACGAAAATCGCTCAGCTTTGAATAATTTTCCGTTTTACACAGGTTTTTAACATAAGAAAATCGCACAGTTCCGAATAATTTTCCTGTCTTATACAGTTTCCGTTTTACAGAGGTTTCTAACAGAAAATCGCTGTTTCGAATAATTTTTCCGTTTTAGACAGGTTTTTAAAATTGCACAGTTCCGAAGAATTTTCCTGTCTTATTCAGTTTCCGTTTTACAGAGATTTCTAACAGAAAATCGCTGTTTCGAATAATTTTTCCGTTTTAGACAGGTTTTTAAAATTGCACAGTTCCGAAGAATTTTCCTGTCTTATTCAGTTTCCGTTTTACAGAGATTTCTAACAGAAAATCGCTGTTTCGAATAATTTTTCCGTTTTAGACAGGTTTTTAAAATTGCACAGTTCCGAAGAATTTTCCTGTCTTATTCAGTTTCCGTTTTACAGAGATTTCTAACAGAAAATCGCTGTTTCGAATAATTTTTCCGTTTTAGACAGGTTTTTAAAATTGCACAGTTCCGAAGAATTTTCCTGTCTTATTCAGTTTCCGTTTTACAGAGATTTCTAACACAAAATCGCTGAATTTCAAATAATTTTTCCGTTTTAGACAGGTTTTTTAAGTAAAAAAATCGCTTAGTTCCGAAGAATTTTCCCGCTTTAGACAGGTTTTTAACATAAGAAAATCGCTCAGTTTCGAATAATTTTCCTATATTATTCCGGTTCCGTTTTGGACAGGTTCTTTTTTTAACATAAGAAAAATATCGCTCGGCTCCGAAGAATTTTCGTTTTGGACAAGTTTTACTGTAAATAATAAAATTAATCATGAGCTATATTTATCTTTATTACATTTTATAACAGTTATACAAGACTTTTAATTATTAACACCTGCTGAAATTTATAAAAAAATATAAATATAATTATTTTTACAGTATAATACATCGCAGACAATAGCATTTATATATATATATGTATAAGAGGAGATGGGTAACATCTGTTTGACTTATAAAAACCCAACCATAAAACCTGCATCATCAGGAACGAAATTGTTCTATGCATGGCTTATATCAAATAGTCATAACGTGTAATTTCATTGGACGAATAGTTTGTGACATCATTTATGACCGTGACAACACAGTCGTTAGAGGTTCGAGATCGTAAATGAAATGACTCCAAACAAAAGCAGATGTTTAGAATTCGAATTAAAAATGGCAAATAAGCAATGAATGTTATAAGTTTTATTTTTTGTTAATTTCTAAAAGTATACACGTTGGCCAAATATTTTTAAATGTATATAATTTCCATTCTTTCTTTGTTGTGTTTTCTACGGTCCTTATGACAAAATTTAACGGCCGGGGGGGGGAGTATACGCTAATAACTACGTGTAAAAATCACAAATTTTATAAAGCTTCGGTACTGTTTCGCGTGTAAGATGAGGTTAATTTATAATAAACATATATAAAAATTTCTTATATAAAAATTACTCCTACGGGGTGGCCCAAAAGTCAGTTGACCTCGTTCAGTTCTGTCCCGAGTAGAAATTGTAAATCGCGCTTTAAAAAAAAGTGCTTATTCAGCGGTTAAATAAGGCAATAATTTAGTTTCTACAGCAGTTAACTGACTTTTGAGCAACCCTCTAAGTGCGTAATCAATACAAAGTCGACTCCCCTATAACACTGTTGATTATTCCGTTTTATATGAATTCCATGTTGTACGAGTCACTTAGATTTTACAAATATGTTTACCGGGCTGTGAACGGCTCACGTATTTGTAAAATCTAAGTGACTCGTACAACATGGAATTTATATAAAACGGAATAATCAACAGTGTTATAGGAGGGTCGACTGGTATATATATAAATAGTTGATTACGTTAAGCGTATTTAATATTAATTAATTTAACATAAAATCGAAAATTAGTGAAGTTTTTTTTTATTCATTTATTATACGTGGCCCAAAAATGAGTTAACCGAGATACGAACGAATTTAGTCGGGAAAGTCAACTGACTTTTGGGCCACCTGTATTTTATAACTATTAAAGTTACATTCGAATAAATTCGAATTTAAAATATATATTAATTTATAATATCAGGAATGAATTAGTTTTTTTTTTAAATACATGGCGTCCCAAAAGTCGGTTAACCGAGAAGTAGGCGAATGTAATCGAACTGGTTAACCGACTTTTGGGCCGCCTTTTATTTGTTTTTATAGAAGTTATATGTATTGTAGAACAGTACATACATAAATTATAAAAATTTAAATAAATAAATAAAAATTAACTTTACCTCTAGAAATTTATCGTGTATGAACCGATGTACTAATGACGTTTTTCCACATTTGTTATCACCCACGAGCACTATTTTACAATTGTATTCTTCCATTGTAAATATTCTGGACCAGTCCAATTAACGAACTGTTTTTTTTTTTTAATATGGACGGAATGAGAAGATAAAAAATTGATACCCTACAAAAAAATTTTTTAAAAATTAAAATAAAATAAATAAATAAATACAGCAAAACCTGTGTAAACCGGAATCACATGTTATCGTATACTTTATCTGTTTTAGACAGGTTTTTTAAGTAAGAAAATCGCTCAGTTCCGATGGATTTTCCTGTCTTATTTAGTTTCCGTTTTACACAGGTTTTTAACACAAAATCGCTGAGTTTCAAATAATTTTTCCGTTTTAGACAGGTTTTTAACATACGAAAATCGCTCAGCTTTGAATAATTTTCCGTTTTACACAGGTTTTTAACATAAGAAAATCGCACAGTTCCGAATAATTTTCCTGTCTTATACAGTTTCCGTTTTACAGAGGTTTCTAACAGAAAATCGCTGTTTCGAATAATTTTTCCGTTTTAGACAGGTTTTTAAAATTGCACAGTTCCGAAGAATTTTCCTGTCTTATTCAGTTTCCGTTTTACAGAGATTTCTAACAGAAAATCGCTGTTTCGAATAATTTTTCCGTTTTAGACAGGTTTTTAAAATTGCACAGTTCCGAAGAATTTTCCTGTCTTATTCAGTTTCCGTTTTACAGAGATTTCTAACAGAAAATCGCTGTTTCGAATAATTTTTCCGTTTTAGACAGGTTTTTAAAATTGCACAGTTCCGAAGAATTTTCCTGTCTTATTCAGTTTCCGTTTTACAGAGATTTCTAACAGAAAATCGCTGTTTCGAATAATTTTTCCGTTTTAGACAGGTTTTTAAAATTGCACAGTTCCGAAGAATTTTCCTGTCTTATTCAGTTTCCGTTTTACAGAGATTTCTAACACAAAATCGCTGAATTTCAAATAATTTTTCCGTTTTAGACAGGTTTTTTAAGTAAAAAAATCGCTTAGTTCCGAAGAATTTTCCCGCTTTAGACAGGTTTTTAACATAAGAAAATCGCTCAGTTTCGAATAATTTTCCTATATTATTCCGGTTCCGTTTTGGACAGGTTCTTTTTTTAACATAAGAAAAATATCGCTCGGCTCCGAAGAATTTTCGTTTTGGACAAGTTTTACTGTAAATAATAAAATTAATCATGAGCTATATTTATCTTTATTACATTTTATAACAGTTATACAAGACTTTTAATTATTAACACCTGCTGAAATTTAAAATAAAACCCTTTGAAATTTGTTTTATTTTAAAATGTCAGCTGATGTAATTTTTTTAAAATGCCATTATAATATTATTTATTTTGTTAAAAGTTTTTATAGTTATTAATTCACAAAATTACCAACTTCGTTTTTTTTAAATAATAGTTTAAAAATTTATTTCATTTTATTGAATAATACAGGCAAATTAAAGAATATAAGTGTCATCTCCCCGTTAAATAGTTAATTTAAAAAAGAAGTTTTATAATGGTAGAGCATAAGTTAGTTAACTGAAATATAGGTAAAGTTTATTAACTCAGTTAACTGACTTCTAGACATTCCTCTTATATACAGGGTGTAGTGTATAAAATGTGTAGTCACAGTTGGTGAATGTTATTGTATAAAAACAAAGGAAAATGTCTAATCGACTTGGAAACAAACATCTTTCTTTTAACAGAAGTCCCTTAAAGTTGTAGAAAGGCACTGTTTAAAAGAGGTCGTGATTAAAAGGAGTCTGTTTAAAAAGGGTTCTGTTTTAAAACACAAACCTTCCTCTAATTTTAAGGAACTATTCCTCGCAAACTAGACATGCTTATACTCACACTGACTAGACATCTTTCCTTTGTTTTCATGCATAAAATACACTTACATACTTCTTACATACACCCCGTATATGTACACAGGCGATTTCTTACTTTAATTACAGTTTAAAATATAAAAATACACTTTAAACTTTGTAATAAATAAAAGTACAACTTGACTCCAGAAGAAAATATATACAATTTTATAAAGAGATAATTATAGTTTATGTCTTACTTCTGTATGAAAACAGGAATAAAACAAATTACACACACAGAGAATGCGGTTTATCAACTCTTGATCTATTATTATACTTATTTATTAAGATGTAATTGCTTATTAATAATTTCCTCAATGTAAAATGTGGTGTGCGCATTATTACTATTATTATTATAAGCACACTATATATATATATTTTACCTAATTTACTGCTAAGCGTATAATCACTCATGCAGAAAGTAAATTATATAATAAGCAGAAAGGCAAGCTTATTTAATTTTTTTTATAATATAAATGAGTCAGTAAAATAACTGTTTTATTAGTCAGAATTTATCCTTTTATAAAAGATTTTTGACTGGATTTAATGGATAAATTTTAATATTTGCTTTCCTTAAGCGATTAATGAAAAATCGATATAAATTTCATTTGAAATTAACTGAAAATATTATCGAAAACATGACATTATACGAAAAGAATTAAGTAATTTTCCATTAGAACAATTGAAAATGGATAATTTACAATCATTTTCTTTGTTTTCTTTTCTTGTTTTCCTTTCCTTTGATTTAATTTCAATTTGATTTCACCTTCCTGTGTTAAATAACACAGGAACACGTAAATTCAAATTGAATCGGTCATAAAGTCACTCCACCCTCAAGATTTTTATACGTTTGGACTCGCGGGTTCTCGAAACGTTCAAAAAATTTGGGGTATTTTTTCTGTGTAGATGTTAGAGAGTGTAAGGGTACGACTTTTTACCCACTTTAAATGCTTAATAACTCCTGTGATTTTTGTGGTAATTTTCTGAAATTTTGCAGGTAGATTTGGGTATTAGGGTAGAATATTTCTGAAAATTTTTAGGAAAATCGGACCTTTGGTTCGGAAGATATGCCTCAACTTCTTTAATATCACCCGAATCAAAGATAATTGTAGCCATTAGGTATGAATACAAATAAAGAATGCTAGGAAAAAATAAATTTTTAGGTAAAAAATTTACCTTTATAATAAATTCGAACCTCTAATAACGGCCACCTGCCAACGACGGACATCTTTACAGAATTTTTCTAGGAAAGTGTAACAAAATAACCACCCACCACCGAACAATGCCCATTTAGCTCCATCAGTGTCCGTCGTTTAGAGGTTTGACTGCACTATAAACAATTTTAGCGTGAAAAATAATTGTTTACAGATATTTTTAATCCATAAAAATTTGATTTAGGCGAAGGAATAGAAATTTTTTCTAACAAAGTTTTCATTAAAAACTCTTCAAAGACGAACATCAAACGTCGGTTACTTCAGCATGTGACATTGTCAGCTGTCACCACTAGTAACAGTCTATCAATTTTACAACAGTAATAATCTTTACGTAATATTGAATCCATATAAAATAATGGAAGAAGAAAACAAAAAAAGAAATGATAAATGTTATTGAAAATTCTCTAAAATTCATGCATTCACATTTATAAAAACCGAAATAAATAAATAAAAAACAAAACAAAAGAACTAAAATAAAAAAAAATTCTTTTCTATTTTTTACCGTTTCCAACATAAATTTAATCTGAAAAAGTAGGGCGAATTATTAATGCATTTATCAAGATGTAGTACGCGTACCCCCAATTACACGCAAAAAGCTGGCGAGGTGGAAAAAGTTGAGAGACTCTGCATAACATTATATTTTTGTACATACTAAGCTGATAAGTATATAGAAGGTCTCTGTGGTATGTGATTTACACAATAAGTAGCAAGCTTTATAAAAATATTTTGCTTTATATTACGTCGAATGTTAATATAAAGTAAATTATACTCACGATCACTGTATTACTGATGTCTGTAGTTTGTTAGTGATATGTATTATAGTAGTAACTTGTAAGAATACATTACTGTAGTGACAGGTTTATCTTGTTAAGACGAATTTATTTGATTTTTTCTATCAGCAGGGGTGCCTTGATTGCACGAAACTAGATCTACAGAGGTCATTATTAAGCGTACTAAATCAAACAACTGACAAAAACATCCAACAAAACGTTTTTATTTTAATAATATCAGCAGTGTCGTCCACAATTATAAAGTAAATAGTATCGGTTAATTATGATTCGTGCTTTTTGGCTTGTCCTTTGATACGAATCAAGGAATGGAGATAAAGAACAGGCTCATAAATGACTTGTTTAACAGCTCATGTAATAAATAAAATGAAAGAAAAACTAACTTGATTCATGGACGAAATTATAAAAATTGTATCAATTTAATTAGATATTTAATTAGATACTAGAGCAGGGATTCCCAACCATTGGTACGCGAGTTCTTCCAAAAAGTAATAGAAATTACTGTGACAATGAAGAATTGCAATTTTTAATCACATTTTAATTTAAAAATCGCGCGACTTCTGCCCAAAAAGTTAACTAAAATGCCCTTAATTTACAATATACGCAAGAGAAATTTAAAAAAAATCTATTGTGGAAAAGGGAGTGAGCAAAAGGGAGGGGAAGGAAACTTATTGCTTCAACTATGCCCCTCCTCTAAAGGCCAACTAATTTACGTATGTGCTTAAATTAAATTCTGGTATGTAAATTCTATACGCAGCCTTAATAAATTAGTATAATACGCAATTTTATTGGTCCACATAGCTAATTTTCCTACTTAGTACCTCACAAAATTACTATAGAGAATCCAGAAATCTTCCAGGGGGATGCAGAAAGGAAACGATATGCCTTACAAAATTCTTTACCCTGCTCTACACGGGGGAAAATCTTTCATGGGAGGGTGCAGAGTGTCCCACGCACCCCCTAACAACCGATACACGAGGTGTTGAAGATTGGGAATTCCAGCTGTAGGGTGATATTTTCTCAGATTTATCAGTTAAAAATCAGTGTTTTAATAGTATAAATAGCATAAATTCGATTTAAAATGCAATCAATTGATATTATCTGTTGTATGAGACACTAGATATAATGGTAGAGAATTGGAGCATAAATATTGCAGAATTATTTTATACTTTTTTTTTTCTTATTTTTAATTAAATACGTCCTCGTAAAAATTCGCAGTAAAGAAATAAAATAAAATCTTGTTAGAATCGTCGGAAAAATAAACGTGAAT